GAGACCTCACGGCAAATGCAGCCGTTAGACATTCCCGTGTGGAAATGGGAGGATATCACCATGGATTTTGTCACCAAACTCCCCAGGACCGCACGTGGAGTGGACTCGATATGGGTAGTAGTGGATCGGTTGACGAAGAGTGCTCATTTTATTCCGATTCAGGAGAGTATATCGGCGGAAAAGTTAGCCGATATCTATGTGCGGGAGATTGTGGCACGTCATGGAGTGCCGGTATCGGTGGTGTCGGACCGAGATGTTCGTTTCACGTCCAGATTCTGGAAGCGGTTCCACGACGAGATGGGTACTCGTCTCCATTTCAGCACCGCTTTCCACCCTCAGACTGACGGGCAGAGCGAAGGACGATTCAGACTCTTGAGGACATGCTTAGGGCATGTGTTCTAGATTTTGGGGCAGTTGGGATACGTATCTTCCGTTAGCGGAATTCTCGTATAACAACAGTTATCATGCGAGCATTGATCGACCTCCTTTTGAGATGTTATATGGCAGGAAGTGCAGGACCCCGATTTGTTGGGGCGAGGTCGGTCAGCGAGTCATAGGGAGCACCGAAGTGGTGCTCAAGACGACTGAGTTGATCCAGCAGGTCCGTAGTAGGCTGCAGACTGCGCAGAGTCGGCAGAAGAGCTACGCCGACAGGAGGCGTTCGGACTTGGAGTTCCAGGTGGGAGATATGGTTCTTCTGAAAGTCTCACCTTGGAAAGGTGTCATCAGGTTCCGGAAGAGGGGCAAATTGGGCCCCAGATTTATTGGTCCTTTCAGGGTTTTGGCCCGGGTGGGTCGGGTTGCTTATCGGTTAGATCTTCCTGAGGAGCTTAGTCAGATACACAACACATTCCACGTGTCGCAGTTAAGGAAGTGTTTGGTGGATGAGACGACAGTCGTTCCCTTAGAGGATATCCAGGTTGATAGCGGCCTGAATTATATTGAGAGGCCGGTCGCGATTCTGGAACGGAAGATCAAGACCTTGAGGAACAAGGTAATTCAGCTAGTAAAGGTGCAGTGGCAGCACCGGAAGGGGTCCGAATGGACGTGGGAGGCTGAGGAGGAGATGAGAGCGCACTACCCGGAGATATTTACAGATCCAGCCGAAGCAGACTTCGAGGACGAAGTCTGAGACAAGTGGGGGAGAATTGTAACGACCCGTTCCCGGTACGTTAATTCATTAGTAATTGTTGTAAGTTTTCAAGGGGACTCGGTGAGTTCTAGCCTGACTCGCCGAGTAGGGTCGCGACTTCGAGCACGCGTGAGCCGGGGACTCGGCGAGTCCATATCCCTGACTCGGCGAGTCCATCCGTCTGGGTGAAACCCTAAATCCCCGGGTTGCCCACTATTTAAACCACCTTATAGCCCCCATTCTCGCCTCCCTCACCCTGAGAACACTGTGAGAAAGAACCCTAATCCTCCCTTGTGTGAGCTAAGTGTTTTGTGCCATTTTGTGAAGGTTTGAAGAAGGAGAAGAAGAAAGAAGCAAGGAGAAGAGCTGTAGTGCAAAGATCCAAGGGCAAATCTGAGTTAATTGAGGTATTTTCGGAGTTTCCCCTCTTGTTATATGCTTTAAACTTCCATTAGAGCTCTCCTAAGAGCTAGTTGATGCTTGTTCCAAGCCTTATGCTTGCATGAAGGTCTTAATAAGTCGAAATATCTTTGGATCTGAATGATGGGGTGTTGTAGAGCCCAGATCTACTGTCTTTTTGGAGTTACTTTGCATATTAACCATAGATCTACCCATTTTGTGCATCTTTTAGCCTTATTTCCCTTATTCATGAGGTTGTGCACGTAAAGTTGGAAACTTTACGTGGTAAATCAGCTTATTGGACCCAGATCTATCAATTGTATGTGTTGGATTCAAACAAAATCGAGTAAAAATCAGTTGCATGGCGGCAACTCGGCGAGTCGGGAAGAACGACTCGGCGAGTTGGGTCGCGAGTTCCCGATTCCTTCATTTTTACCAGTGTCGAGTGGATCCAGTGAGTTAGAGAGTGGACTCAGCGAGTTGAGGGTAGACTCAGTGATGGAGGGACTCGGCGAGTTGTTCATACAACTCGGCGAGTCCAAGGCAATCTTCTTAAGATCAAGAACAACTCGTCGAGTTTGTTCATACGGCTCGGCGAGTCGGATGAAGATTGTCTGAGTTCTTGGATCAAGAGGGTACTCGTCGAGTCGATGCCACACTCGACGAGTAGCAGCGAGTAGAACTGAGAAGTGAGAGTAGGACTCGGCGAGTTGGGCGGCCCAACTCGGCGAGTCAGCCCAAAAAGAGAGTTGACTTTGGTCAAGGGTAAAAGAGTCATTTTACCCCAAGCGCAGTGTTTAGTATTTGATTGAGTGTGTTTATGGACTTGTAGCCGAGGAGATTCAGGAACAGCAGCCGTTAGCTTCCCGAGCCACACACTCAGCAGCCAGCTTACGAGGTGAGTTTCCTTCCAGTAGGAACGAAGTCTAAGGCCACAATACCGGCCCGTTCAGTTAGCAGTAGTTTCCGGATTTAGGTCCGATGCAGTAGCTAGAATGTTTGATGCCTTCGTGGCTCGAATAGGATTTGTGTGCTATGTTTTATGCGTTAAGTGATATGTGTTCCGGGCTACGGCCCGATGTAGTATGCCGTATATGTGTCCATGTTAGTTGATGTGTTATGTTATTCCATGTTCAGCCAGTCGGTTCCGGACATCGGTCCGATGCAGTTAGTTCCGGACTTTGGTCTGACGCAGTTAGTTCCGGACTTCGGTCCGATGCAGTTAGTTCCGGACTTCGGTCCGATGCAGGGGACAAGGACCCATTCAGTTCCGGACTTCGGTCCGATGCAGTTAGTTCCGGATATCGGTCCGATGCAGGGGACAAGGTCCCTGTCAGTTCCGGACTTCGGTCCGATGCAGTTTCCGGGCTTCGACCCGATGCAGTGGGCGAGGCCCAATATGTGTTTATATGTTATTGTATGGTATGTGGTAGTTTGGGGGAGCTCACTAAGCTTCGTGCTTACAGTTTCTGTTTTGGTTTCAGGTACTTCCGCAAGCAAAGGGAAGAGCTCGGGGTGATAGCATCGCACACACCACAGCTTAGCTTTTATCCTGGGGATGGTTTTAGTTGTTTTGGATTTGATATAGTATGATACAGTTTTCCGCACAGTATTTTATTATGATTTGGGATACATCGCGTATGTTTTTTTTTATGTTATGATACTCATATTATGGTTTTGATTATATTGAAAAACGAAATTTTTGGGTCGTTTCATGGGTGGGGGTATCAACCGGTCCACAAATATCTCCATGCACCATCTCGAGAATATTTGTAGCTCTATAATTAGCTTTCTTTGCAAACGACTACTTTGTTTGTTTTCCAACCATGCAAGATTCACAAAGTTGATCTTGATGTTGGATTGTCGGTACCCCTTTAGCTAGCTTGTGCATCAAGGTTACCGCACCAAAATTAATGTGGCCAAGTTGTGTGTGCCATAACCAAGCTTCCTCATTAAACTTGACTTGTAAGCAATGTGGTTTTCCAACTTTTAATTTTATTTTGTAGAGTCGGTTTGCACTTATCGGGACTTTCATAAGTAATCTTCCGTCTCCATCCCGCATGATTGGAAATCACCTCGCATCCGAATATCACAACTGGCTATTATAGACTGCCCGAGACTAATAACATTGCTATGAAGTGATGGGATATAATAAATATCCTTCATTAATTTTTGCTCACCTCTTTTCCATTCGAACAAAATTGACCATTTTCCTTTAATGCTAACACACGATCCATCTCCAAATCTCACTCTACCCATTATATTCTTATTTAATTCAGAAAAATAAGAATAGTTGTCGGTCATGTGGTTGCTCGCACCATTATCTAAGTACCAAATTCCATCTTCATCGGCATTTGCTTCAACTTTTGGAGGGATGTATATATCTTCATTCAAGAACACCGTTTCTTGAATTGTATTCATCATAAAGAACGTCCCTTCTTCATGATTTGTATATCCGTTGTGTGTCTGATTAAGGTTAGACTCATGATTTTTATTCGGTTCGGGCATCTTGAAGCAAAGTGTTCATATTTATCACACCGGTAACATTGGATGTTTGAGAGATCTCTTTGCTCCCATTGTTTTCCTTTTTGCTTTTGATCGTCACGATTTTTAGAGAATTCCGAGTGACCATGATTTTGGGTGTTACTCCGACCACATCCACCACCTCGTCCTCGTCCTCTTCCTCGGTTATTTGAACCTCAACCTCTACCTGTTGATGAATCGGTATTTCTATTGGACGATTCGGTTTTGGAATAAAGTAATTTATTTTAAGTCTCAATTACTTTGTCTTCACCCTTGATTCTTTCCTCATAAGCTTTTAAGCGGTCAATCACGTCTTCAAAGCTTATCGTTTTAAGGTCCAAAACTTGTTCAAGGGTTGCAACTATATGGAGAAATCGCCTAGGTAGGCTCGTAAGAAACTTCTTCGCAAGCTTCTGTTCGGTCATGACCTCTCCTAGTGAAGCGGATTTCAAAGCAATTCCAGATAATTTTGCAGTGAACTCATATATTGTACTAGTATCACTCATCTTTAGATTTTCAAATTCTGTTATTAGAGTTTGGAGTCGGGCTTCCTTCACACACTCAACTCCTAGGTTTCGAGTTTTAATCGCCTCCCACATCTCTCTTCCGGTTTTCAAATTACCAATTTGAAGGATTAAATCCTTTGAAATCAATTGAAACAAAAATCTTTTGACGATGTTGTTTTTCTTCACGTCATCTAGTACGGGATTAATCACATCCTAAACGCCATGAATCCTGAGTAGCACCTCCATGTGCATCCTCCAAATTGTGTAGTTCGTCGATGTCAAAGTTGGACATTGGAACGTGAACCACGTGTGTTCCTTAGCCGGTGGTTGCGACGATTTTCCTCCCGACATCGTGGTTCCATGTTTAAATTCTTGATCAAATTTCAAGAGTTGATTTGGGCCTATCCAACAAAAACCCAAAGTAAACGAACAAATTCGCCCAAAATAAATAAATAACGATATTGGGTTGCAATAAAAATTTTAGATCTCAACGAGGGCCCAAAAGAAAAGAAAATCACGTATAATTTTTTCTTTTAGGGCAAAACGCGTCTTCTCAAAACTAGAAGATTGGAATCGATTGCGGTCGCCAAGTTGTCTTCCTGCACAGTTCTCACGAGAACAGAAACAAAAACAGAAACACAGAAAGCCAAAAAGTTACACAAGATATCTCCACAGTATGATTTTCATCAACCGTACACCACAGTTCGAAAAAGAAAATAAAACAGCCTGTGGTTCTTCCTCAACCTGCTATCGCACGTTCTTCTTCTTCAGATCACGAGTTCCCCTTCTCACGCAGGAGAAACTTACCTCCTGTGCAGAAACAAAAACAGAAATAAATAAATAACAGGAAAATTCTCTTCTTCTATTGTAATCTGTCACAGGTGCGCTTTGCTCTGATAACAATTCAAAGCAAATATAAAATAGAGCACTAGAATTACATAACTCGCATGATATCTTAGTATGTCTATATTGTCTTTAATAAGTTGAAGTTTTGTAACATAATTTTCTTCAATAAAAGATATTATGCGAGTTATGCAATTCTAGTGCTCTATTTTTATATTTTGCTTTGACTTCATACACATTTAAAATCAAAGCATTTTAAAATCCAAGTTTCACCACCATAAGCCCAACATCAACATATTTAACCAATAATCTTAAAACAGCAATGTACTTGCTGAAAATGCAACTAATCTCACAACTCAATTTACACACTTAGAATAGTTGTCTATATAGTCTTCCAAATGCTAACGAGAAATGCATTTAGCCAAATACCTAACGCAGGTATTACACAAATCAAATATGCAAAAGAAAGATACAACTCTTAAATTGCAATGTGGATGAGACAAGCATTGTTTGAAAATATAGCATTAGTTTTTACATATTCCTAAACCTAATTTCCAATCATGAGAGATGATGGATTTCCCTTTCCCAATTTTAGCAAACTGTTATATGATCATCATGTAAGAAGCCATCAACCGAGAGAATCACAATATTAATGTCATCTAATTGTTGAAAAGAAAAAGAAAAGAGAAGATTCTGACTTTATACGAAAAGCCAATAATATATATTAAGATCTTGAAGGTCACCACTGTTTTGGGAACACAAAACACGACCTTAAATTTATGATAAACATCTACACCAAACTCATGTTTTTGTTTGTAACCATTAAAAAAAATGAAATCGGATTTTATTACACAGGAACAGCAACTGCCTCGTCAAGAGCATCAACACCAGGGAGTATTTTTCCTTCCAACAATTCCAAACTTGCACCACCACCTGTTGAGATGTGACTCATCACTTCCGCCACTCCAACTTTCTCGACAGCCGCCACTGAATCTCCACCTCCAATGATTGTAGTCACCCCCTTTCCACTAAGTTCAGCCAGTTTCTTTGCAACTGCCTGCAATTTTAGTTTATAAAAAAAAAAAAAAAAAAAAAAATGTAAAACCAGTATCGATGCAGTTTAAAGAGAAAAAAGAGTTGAACACAAACCTCTGTTCCAACTGCAAATTTGTCAAACTCAAAGACTCCCATCGGTCCATTCCAGATGACAGTTTTGGTCGTTTCCAAGGCATCATTGAAAGTCTTGACAGAATCCGGTCCAATATCTAGTCCCATCCAGCCATCAGGGATAGCTGATGCTGGCACAATCTACATATAGTACCCAAAAAAAACAAAACAAAAAAAAAAAAAAAAAAAAAAAAAAACCTGTCAGTATTAGTTTTGAGTTTGACCAAAAAAAAAAAAAAAAAAGCTACCTTGCTGTTTGCATCGGGTGCAAACTTGTCAGCAATGACGACATCTGTTGGTAGCAAGAGGGAGACTCCTTTTGCCTTGGCCTTTGCAAGGAGTGTGGTTGCAAGATCAAGCTTGTCTTCCTCCACCAATGAGGATCCTACTGAAAGCCCTTGTGCCTTGTAAAATGTGAAGATCATACCCCCACCTAAAAGCAATATGTCACATTTTTCAAGAAGGGACTCGATCACTCCAATCTTGGATGACACCTTTGAACCCCCAACAATGGCAGCGAATGGCCTTTTTGGGTTTGAAACTGCCCCATCAAGATAATCCAGTTCCTGCAGTTTTTAAACAAACAAACAAACTAGTTACATATCATCCATCATTCATCAAGAGATCAATTGACTGATGGCCTCATCACACCTTTTGCAAAAGGAAACCAGCAACAGATGGCCTCAAGAACTTTGTGACTCCCTCAGTTGAGGCATGGGCTCTATGGGCAGTTCCAAAAGCATCATTGACATAAAGATCCGCTAGTGAAGCAAGCTTTTCTGCAAATCCAGGATCATTCTTTTCTTCCTCCTTGTAAAACCTTACGTTTTCAAGAAGAAGAACACCACCATCAGGAAGTGAAGCCACCAGCTTCTCCACATCTGGACCAATACAGTCATCCGCTTTCACAACCTATCAATTTATAATTAATTAATAATTCATTTTTCTAGCTCTGTTTGATTTTCTTTAAAGGACAACAAGTACCTCAACACCAATCAGTTCCGATAGTCTGGGAACAAGAGGAGCCAGGCTGTACTTGGGAGTCACACCTTTTGGCCTACCCTGAGGAATTTCATAAAGGAAGTGAAGTGATGAGTCACAAAAATACCTCTTATTTCTAAGCAAAAGAGAACAAAATACACATCTTCTTGGACCCAAAACCTCTTTGTTCAAAGGCTACTCCTCATCATCGTTTACTCTTTTCTTCAATGAAATAATGATTTCAAGCCCAGAAGAAAAACTCAATCGGCTTTCTATTCCCTACAATGCATGTTTCCTGTTTTATCTTGTAAAATCATAAATGCTCACCACACAGTAAAAACATTGTGATCGTAGCTCATTACACTCAACTACAAATTGAATTGAATGATCAAGCTTAAAAGAAGAGGGCGGAGGACTATATTAGTTACGATTATCATCTGAGATAAAAATGAGATTTAAATAGGAATGCATATGCTTGAGATGTGCTTGCCGCATTTAGAAATGGACAAAGATTGATCACGGAAGAGCATCACATACCAAATGACTAGAAAGGATGACTTTAGCACCATTGCTGATCAAGTGCTTGATGGTTGGGACGGCGGCTCTGATTCTTGTATCATCTGTGATATTCTGACTGTCGTCCAATGGCACGTTCAAATCAGCCCTAACGAACACCTTCTTGCCCTTTAGATCGGCAGGAGAGAGGTCTCCAACGCTCCTCTTGGCCATAGAGACAACGCCTGTGATTGGTCTGGCGGAGGTTTTGAGGGATTGGAGCTTGGAGGCTACATGTGCAGAGAATAGGGGATCAGCAGCAGCGGCGGCGAATCCAAGGCCACGAAGTGGGGAGCGCAGAAAGCGAGAAGGCAGGCGAACAGTGGGGCTGCTACGGGAGGTAGTGGAAGACGAAGAAGTTGTGGGGATGAGTGAGAGAGTGGTGGGTGATGCTGCAGAAGCCATTGTTGAGTAATCGAGTAAGGAATGAATCAGTGGCAGTGATAGAGAAGAAATAGATGGGGTTTATTATGTGGGGATTTGGGGATTGGGTGTTTGCTTTTCCTTATCGTTGAGGAGAGGCCAAAGATCTTCGTCCTTGGATTTGCCTCTCCCTGTTCAACGGCTTTCTTTGGTCCAAGCGTAAGGTTTGAGTAAATTACAAAACACGTACGTCTACTATCATCAAACTACAGTTTTCTTTTGTTTCCTAATTGTTTTTGCATTCATAGTCCCTTATGGCCACTTATACAGCTCGTTCGGTTGGAGGCAATTTCTTTCCATCTTGCACTTGTAATTGTTTTCATTTCACTTTCAATATTTATTATCCTTAAAATTTGAAATCAAATACAAGGATGAAACCAAACAAACTTGAACTGAATTAGGGTTAATGCCATAAAAATTATAAAGTTTAACTCTTAATTTGTGATTTACCCAAATATGTTTTTTTTGTTACCTTTTACTATTAATTCTTAACACACTATATATTTCTTAACTTTTAATAAGTCACCAACATGTAATAGGTAGCAGTTACCACTAATTTGGTATTCATAGATAACAATTTTTACCGACATAACATGTTGTCTAGGCTTACCATGTCAGCATTTTATATTAAAAAAAAAAAAATACAAGATGTAGAGTAACTTAAGGTGAAAATGAATAAGACTTAAACACTATACCAATGAAACTCAATCGAAAGACTTTCGTACAACATGTACATATATGTAACTAATGTAAGTGTATAAGGAAAAAAGTGAACTGAATTAGATGAGTGAGTAAGATTATAACGAGTATTATAATGGAAGAATGACGTGTGTTTTTACCATTAGCCAAAATATGTAGCATATATTGTTAAGAGAAATTTTTTGAAGAACACTTGAACAAATGTTAGTACAAGATAAGTCAAATCCTGAAACTCCCGGGCCAACTGCTGCACCTTAATAATTGGCGAAAACTCCGCCCTGAACCTATCTGAGAAATCGCTCCAAGTCATCGCGTCCAACGTGGCATCATCACCCAAAACATGACCAATCTCTTCCCACCAATCCCTCGCTCTGTCCTTCAGAAGACGGGAAGCGAGTCTGACCTTGTCCTCCTCAGGACACCGGCTTGTACGGAATGCGTTGGCAACATCAGCCAACCATCTGCTGCTAGCGATGGGGTCCCTAGCCCCATGATAATCTGGTGCCCCGCAAGCCCTAAACTCTCGAAATGTCAAGGTACGCGCTCCCAACAAAGCCATCATCTCAGTACGGAAGGCTCCCAGCCTCTCATCCAAAATCTCCAATATACCCTCCTTGACCGTGCCAAAGATCAAAGGAGTCTGAGCTAGAATACTGTGCGTAACCTCGGCTGATATCAACTCTCTCATCCGCTCCTCGAGCTGCTCGGCCCCTGAACCCGAACCAGATCCCTCTTCGGCGCCTGATTCACCCGCTGGTCTCTCTCGCAATGTCACCATACTGAAACATATAACATAACCATTATCAGAATACTCCTCACTACTGTGAGACCAAACATACTCACTACCAGGCTCCCGGTCTTGTCTCGGCCTTTCCCGAATCGAGTACGGATCCTCTGCTTTCAGTAGTACGGGCCCATACTACCTTCCACATCTATCCGTACTTTCCTCAAGAACTGCTTTGACTCCACCAGGTCCCTTTTCTACTACTACTGCTCCCAGCACTACCTCATCCTAGGCTTACCCTAGGGAAACCTCTGACTCAACTCAAACCATCCCTCAGTTGCTGAAGGTCTCCTTGTGATGCCAATTAGCCATCACCTGGATACCATCACATGTGATGAGGCTCAGATAATCCTTCAAGTAGAGGACTCGTTCCTACAACGGTTGGACTCAAACAAGAGCTGCGCAATAGGACCAAATCCAACACTCTGAGATTATTCAACCCTGATCACATGTGATGTACCGTATCCACCTAATGGCTAACTCCCATCACTCAGAATCCCACAATGCACAAAGCGAGCAGCATTCAGACAAAGGGAAAATCTAACCATAACATACTCAAGCATTCATATCCACATAGCAAGAATCTGAACTAGCATGCAACACAACTCATAAACTCAGGCATAACCTAAACAAGCTATCCTACTACTATCTATTCAGCACTATCATGCAGATCAAAAGCACATATAATAGGCACATAAGGCATCATCCCTAGATCCTCAGTCCTAATCTAGCATGTTGTTCTATTAACTGATAATCAAAACATAGACTTGTATGGGTATTTTGGGGTACTTACTTGAGCTCGGTTGATTGCATGCACCACACCTCTTTTCTCTTTTCAAAGTTCTTTTCTTTCTGAATTCTTTTTACTTTTCTAAAACCGTTTTCTTTCTCAAAACTCTCTTTTTACAAAACTATCTTTTCGTTTCTGAATTCTTTTACTTTTCATGGTTTTTAATTCCCTACAAAATGAGTATAATATATGTATGAAATATATTTAAAAAAAAGTGAGGGAAGGGCTTCTCACCCATTCCTTGGCTTTTAGGTGAGGGAAAGAGGGGTATGGCCCACCAAAAGTGAGGGAAGAGTCTCTCCCACACCCTCCGGTCTAATAAGTTGCGGAATAAGTTAATCTCAAGGATCTTGTTAGCTCAACAATAAAAGTTAAAAGTGTTAGATTTGTTAGATGCGGAAAATGTAAAGGAAATATAAATGACAACAAGTTATATCAAGTAGACACCAAGTTGTTTCATAACGAGGTTTGCATTCAAACACAAGTTAGTAAATGTGAACAACTTAAGGTGAAGATGAACTCGATTTATCAAAGATAATAGATAGAGACGAATGATCTTTGTATTGCAATAATATTTCAGAAAGATCTTGGAGGTGTGTTTGATACAAGAAGAGGGGATCTCTATTTATAGAGTCCCAAAAAGTTACATTTACAATAAATAAATACTATTTTATTGACTTCAGTGACCATGCAAGGTTCACTGGATAAAAAAAGCGCGCTAAGTCAGTAACTTGAAAGTCTTCATCATTCATCTATTTGGTAGCAATTGTGGTTGCAGTTGCGGTTTACACAAAACTTATTCCGCTTCGGTAGTCAACTCCTGATGCGGTATCACCAACACTTCTGGGTTGCGGTTCCTTTAGCTAAAGAGGGTCACCTTTTTTATTAACAATTTCCCCCCAAAGTGACCTCTTATCTATCTTCTTCATTTTTGCAATTTGAGGACCCGACTAAGAATCCACCATAATTTTCTACCTTCAAACAACCACTGAACTCTTCTAGAGATTTCAAACCTAACTTCATCTGTAGTATGCTTTGATCTTTGCACTGAAGCTAAAGTGACGTCTAGTTGCTTCTTGGTGAGTCAGTGGATTGCGGTCACAGGAATGAAGTATTTCGGACCATCTTGAGCCCTTATGTAAACAACTCCTAACTTTAGATAGTTAGTTGCACCAAGTGACATTTCTTGAAACCCATTAGTGTATGTTGGTATAGGCTCTAGTTCAGGAAAATCAAATTTCTTGGCAATGACTGGATGGATTTCTGCATCAATCTTTCGGAAATCGCATATTAGATCCTTAAGAAATTCACAAGTAATTTTCATATTGGGGTGCTTTTCAGGTTTGATTTGAAACACTCTAGCTATGAAGAAAATTTCCTCCTGGTTCATGTTCACAAAATATGCTTGAGTTCAGATGTATCGATCTCCTCTTCAGGTCAAGGTATACTGATAGAAATCGGCCTTCATAAACTTTCTCATTTTGTAGTTTTTGACCCCATCTGGTCTATCATTAGACCAGATTATCTTGAACTCAGACCCATGCTTGGCTTGAAAGAGGTTTAGGCACTGAAACTCCATTAAATGTCTCTTTTCATCTGGAAGACTAAAATCAAAGGACTGGAAGATCGGAAAGAACTTGGAGTTTGGGGAGATGAGAATGTCCCAGTAGACGTCCGAAGGAGGTGCAGTATAAGTGAGAATTAGCCTGTAATTATCATCCAATAGCTTGCGGGTAGGGTTTACCCAAGAGTTTACTAAGGATTTATCCATCATCGTATCGAAGCCATGAGCTCTCCAAATCTACTCACCAAATTTTGTTGCCTTCCAGTCACGTTTTCTTTGGGTCGTGGCTAGGGAGTCATCAGAGTGATCAGATGACATATCTGAGGCAAGATTTTTGAAATGCGAAGGAGTTTGTTGCGGAGAGCCTTGAGAAGTTGATTTTTGTGGGGACTTTTGCGGTGAAGATCTTGGAGTTGGTGATTTGTTGTGCTCTTCAGTAGGAGGATTTTGAACTCTTGGAGGTGTTTGATGTTGATGAACCGAAGGGGTCTTTGATCGTGAATAATCTTGTTCTTGATGAGTTAAAGGATCTGGCTCTTGATGAGTTCTAGAAGGGCTTTCACTTCCCCCTTTTGAGGAAGCAACCTCCTAATGCTCCTCAAACCATTACTTGAGTCTATCAATTTTGGATAAGGTTTCATTGAACAGAGACTTCATTTGAGTCTATCAATTTTGGATAAGGTTTCCTTGTTGGAAGTAGGTGACAAATCTCCTTTGTAAGACGGAGAATTTTATCAACGCTTGAATTGGCAGTGAGTGAGCACTGTAACCCATTGATTGTGTTTTGTAGGACTGCAAGGCCTGATTCGTATGTTGTGTGGGTTTCTTCAACAAGTTTTTTGGAATGACTTGTTTGTTTGTCAAGAGCTTGATTGAAATCATTCTTTAATGTAGTTATCTCCTGGATGAGTTTTTCAGCAGTGGAGATGAACTCCTTCTGATCTGCGGTTCTTCTATTGTCTAGGTCTCTTATACTCATTTCAACCATGAGGATCATTCGCTCTACGTCCATTCTCTCCCCTGTTTCCAATCGGTCAACTCGTTCAATGAGTGACTGCGGGGTTGCAAATTCAGTGTTCTACGGTTTATTGGTAGAGAGTGCAACCAAGATTTGGTCGATTTTGTTTTGTAGACTAAGAATTTCTTTTCTGGACACTGCAATCTCTTTCATCTTCTTTTTCTTTGGTTTGGAGGTGGTGTGTTGATATCCACTCGATTCTTCATCATCGAGCATCATTATGAAGTCATCTGAGGGAAGGGGTTGTTGAACATCTTCAAAGTTGTCTTCATCAAGCCCAAACATCGGAGTTGAGCTTAATTCAATGGCAGTTTCTTCGTTGTTTGAATCATGATCTTCTTCTGCATTTGGAGGGGGCTTTGAGGTGCCAGAAATATTCTCCAGTTGATGAGTGTTTTGAACAGTTTCCTCCATGG